TTCCAGCACTGGGTGCAAGCCTTCCTAGTGGTGGAGCTTATGTGTACAATTATTTTCACAAACCTCGTTCAGTTTGGCAAGATTATACAGTGTGTCGAACAGTACCATCAGTTTTAGATATTTTAATATTATGATTTGCTTAATTCTGATTTTGTATAAGAAAAAAAATCCTTGGCTTTGAGTTCTTGAGCCTTACAGGTCCAAGTGGGGGATTTCCCCCCCTCCTCTCCTTCCCCCCCCCCCCTTAATTTTTTAAGGCTTTTTCCAATCTGAAGGTTAAACGCTTTTAAAATTAATTTTGTAAATGAAAGCTGTCTTCTTTAATTTGTTGTTATAGTATAGAGTTCTGCTGCTGCAAAATTACACTTGTATGAATTAATCACTTGAATAGTTCCAACAAAGTTAATCATGTGACTCATGATTAAAATGAAGTATGTGTTTGTAGAAGTGAGGCCTAGGTTTGTATTAAATTGATGATAATTTCTTAACAATTTTTAAAGGCAAGAACTTTGCTGTCTAAATAAAGGTTAATGCCATACATCGCTTTACTAAAGTATACCTCTAGCTTTATGTAGCTAGGGGCTTACTTAAATTTCAGCCAGCATTTTCGTTTATTTTTTTTTAAAGTTTGCTGTTGACTTCTGCAGACAATCTCGGATTTAATGGTTTTCATGAACTTTATGAAACTGTAAATTAAGCAGGTCTCTCTATATGACTTCTTGGTTTAAGAATGTAGAAATTATGATAATTGTGTATATACATATTTTGAGTAATTAACATTAATATTTAAAGTTACACACAGTAAAATTCGTTAAACCAAAATAAATTACTGTATCCTTCTTTTAAATTGCCACAAAGAGCCAAAGTCGTGGAACAGAGTCCTGGTAATAAATACTTTAAAAAAAGAAGCATCCCTAGATAAACCGATTATTTCTTAACTTACTAATTTAAGTGTGTAGCTAGTATGAATATTCATTAACTCCTGACCTATGCCTGGACTCTGAAAAGACAAGTTTGTGTGTACTCATTTAAGTGATTGCAGTTATAGTTCAGTGGGGGTAAATGTGCTTGCTAGGGTTGGCAGGATGGGGGTGTAATTTACAGTCGACCTGAAAATAAGCAGAAATGTGTTCACAGTGTGCTTGAAAGCACTGATATAGAAGAATTTGTCTAAGTATTTAGATACAGGTTTATGTTACATTTTTTTTTTCTGTTCATGATCAGCGATCCAGGTTTTCTTTTCACCACAGAAAAATGTGGCGTTCCCCTCTTTTAAAGAGAAAAACTTGGGAAGCAACAGGTTTCCCCTTGCTGTCTGGCAGAGTTCCAGCCTGCAAGGGGCTGTTTGGGGTTGGGGGGAGTGGGAGGAGGGTGATCAGGTAAGGGCACATGCACATGTGCCTGCACACATGCACATAGCAGCCAGGCAGTGTGGAGAGCAGCTCCCCTGTAGGTAAGCCTATGGAAGGAGGGGAAGGGGAGATTGAGGCCTCCATGGGGAAGGAGGGAGTAGGGCAGGGCGGGGGCTGGGGCTGCTGCCCAGCCAGGGAGGTTCATGGGGCCAGGGCAGGAATGTGTGGCTGCAGGGCGTGGCCAGAGAGAGGGACAGAGCCACTGGTGGCTTGGGCAAGGGGGCTGGCTTCCTGCTGCTGCATGCACTCCTGGGGAGGTAGGCAGTGGGGGCGGGGGCACATGCCCCCAGATTTGTGTACGTGGTAGGGCAGAAGTAGGCTGCCTGCTGTGGTCTCAGGGCTCCCTGCACTACTGTCCTCCCCCTGGGGCCTCTGCAGCAGAGCAGGGTGGACAGACTTGGTGCTGCTGCCGGGAGCCCCATGTTGGCCACGCCACTATGGCAAGGTGTCCCCTGACTGCTCAGCAGTGGTGGGGTTGGGGACATGGAAGGCTGGGAGTACAGGGAGCTGTAGGTTGGGAGTGAGGGGCATTGACAGAGCTGGGAGCTGTAGTTTGGGAGCAAGGGGCACTGGCAAGCCTGGGGACGTGGATCTGGAGCAAGGGGCACTGGCAGGGCCCAAGAGCTGTTGGTTAGGAGTGAGGGGCATCGATAGGGCTGGGGGGATGGGGGACTGTGGCTTGGGAGTGAGGGCTGCTGGCAGGGCCAGGGGGCTGCAGCTTGGGAGTGATGGGCATCAGCTGGGCTGGGGGGCTGTGGGCCAGGAGTGAGGGGCAAAGGCAGGGGCAGGGTGTTCAGCACAACCAAGCAGGAGGGGAACTTGCATGTTGGTGAATGAAGGGCCAGGGGGAGCTCTGGTTTTTTTGTTTTGTTTTTTGTTTTTTTACAATAAAACCCCCCAAATATAAAGGTATTTAGAATGTATTTTATTATAATGATTGAGGCACTGGTAGGCTTCCAAATTGCTTTCAAATTGTAAATATATCATTAAAATATTGTGTTCAACTGATACCTATATATCATGGCATTTCATTTTAATCACAGAAAAATACGGTTTTTGAGGTTGTTGATCTGAGAATTTGGGGTTTTTATCAGAAAACTGGTGATTTTTTTGACTGAGAAAACAAGGATCCCTGTATGATGCAACTGCTTGCTGTTCATTCTTGATTTTAAAAAAAACCAAACCAGTAATTCTAACGTTACCCTTTGAAAATGTCATACAAAATATTTAATATGCTTTCTTAAAATAATGTATTTTTAACAAGGATATAAAATGTGGTGGCAGATCAAGTTTTGATAGATACCATGGTATATGCTTGTATGCTTTCTTTTTCTTTCTTTTTTTAAAGCCTCGGTTAAAGATAATTTTAAATGGCCAAAGGTCTCATCTCTTTAGAGGTTTCACTAAACACAAGTGATAGCAGCATCTGCTTTCTATTATCACAACCACTGCTACTCTTAATAACATAAGAAATGAGTAGAATAAGTGAAAGTTTACCAGCTCTGAGTGATCCAGAAAAATAGGGGGGAGAGAATGCATCAGGACTCTCTCTCATTTATCAGGAGATGTTCTTTTCAGCTATTATTTCTTGTTCTTGCAGTAGTAACAGGTCATTGACAGTGTCCTCATCCCCTTTCTTCACTTGTGTCAAGGTAGGGTGTTTGTGATGTTTTGGGCATGTTGCCTGGTAGTTGTTCTCAAAGTTTTTTTTTAAACAAACACTTGTCCAGGATGGTTTAGGTAAGGGTGATGCTGCCTTCGGCTGCGGTTTAGACTAGATCATTTTTTTTTTCAAACTGGGATACCTATACCCCGGGGGGCAGGGGGTGATGCTTTGCTATAATTTTAATTTGCAGTGGTAAGTAACAGTGTTGCTTCTGCATATGTTTATCAACAACATGTAGCATCAGGTGTAGGGGATACATGGTGGATGGGTATGCAGCCAAAAACTTTGAAACCCCCTGGGCTAGATGGCGTCCTGAGGTCCCTTCCAGCCCTTATCTTTTATCATTCTATTGTGTCTGCATTGGGTAGTGTTGCTAAACTTTAACTGTTCTATGGGAAAATTAGGACACCTAGTAGTAGGAAAAAAATAAGGCGGCTAATGCTTTGTCAGTAGACCTAAACTTTGAAAAGGTTTGACTTCATTGGCTGTAATGAGTGATGTTTAAGTTGTGTGCATTTAGCATTTGACCTCCGTTAAATGGCAGCTAGAGAATCATGTTTCTTTGATCAGTCTTTCAGAAAATTGTCTCTAGATGATACGATTTAATGATATTTAGACCTGTCTTGCCTTTGATGAAACATACGTGTATTAAATTAGTGGATGATAAGACCGAAGTAGAACTATCCAGACTTCAGGTGGAATTTTTTTTAATTTTGAAGGATTTCTGTAAGGCAAAAACATCAAGCCTTAACTTAATTGGGGGCATTATTTTAAAATTGCTTATTGATAATCTTTTTGCTTTAGATGTGATTTAGGGCTGTATATAAAGCTGAAGAAGTCTGTGATTGAACTGGATGAATATCAGTATTTATGAAAGCATTCACATCCTTTACTGGTTTTTGCGGGGTGGGGAGGAGGGTTGCATATTTTTTGGTAGGATTCATTCTCGCTTCTGTTAAATTTGGTGGAAGCAGGATTGAGGACTTAATGAACAAGTTATGTATAGCAGAGGTTCCCAACCCTTTTCTTATTGCATACCCCCATACAAATTTACCAGATGCCCACATACACCTATGAGCGTATGTTTTATAATTTAACCCCTTAAATGCTAATTTATTATTATAATGACAAATCTGGCATTACACAATTTCTCCCACATATCCCCCAGTGATATCTTGGATACCCCAGAGATATGTGTACCAAGGTTTGGGACCCCTCTGGTCTACAGAATTGGGATGCCGTACAGGTTTAAGATAATATTCTCTTGTTGTAAGATTGGGTTTATGAAAAATAAGCACCTGAGCCATGACTGTGATTGCTTGAGCAGACATTGAGATAATCTTGCCGTGATAATTCTAAGGTTTGGGGTTTTTTTGGTGATCCACAAATTGTTCCTTGAGATTATACTGTATTAAAAAATGTGCAAAAATGTGAAGATGACTACAAGGCCATTCTGTATACATGTCCAGTGACTGAAGATTGTGTTTTGTATTCTGTATATAATGTGGATGGCTGCTGAAATAAGCTTCATTTTGGTATTAAAAAAGCTTTTATCTGTAGAATTTTTAATTTTGAATCTGACAATTTGCTTTTTTTCTTTCTAAATCCCTAATGTAAAACAAATGTACATAGTGGTAGTTAAGGTGAAAGACTATTGCAACTATTACCAACTCTTCTTATGTACCTATTTAATAAAATAAACAATGTGGCTTTCCCAATTTGTCCTTTTAATAGAGAAAATAATTTTCTTGCAGTGCTGAATAAAAGACATTATGAACTTCAGCATGAAACATAATAGTAGGCTGGATATTTTAAACCACATACACTTTGTGAAGTGGTTTATAATTGTTACCATTTCCCATATGCTCTATTTATTAAATTAAAACATTTGCAAGCTCTATTGTTTCTTTCTGTTTACTCAGATGAGCAATACTGCAGCTAGCCCGATGTCAACTGTTGCCTCTTCAAGCAGTGGAAGGGGGATAGGAAAATCAACAAGCTTCACTCCTGAACTGCAAAGTATGATGTAAGTAAACTCTCTTAAAGTATCTTTGACCATTTATATTTTTAGTATACCTGATTGTCATTTTATAAGAAAAGAGGACAGATGAACAATAGCAAGATATATTTGTTATATTAATGTTCACAGTTGTAAATTTGGAAAACATTTAAAAAATAATTTGGATATGCAAAACATCCGTTTTCTAATAAAAATAAAGAAAATCCTGTTAAAGGAACATCTATGAACACTTATTTTTATACATGGTAAGTTGAGACCCTACGCTTCTTAATTCATCATCAAAAGAGGTAAGATACTGTTAACACAAACTTATTTTTAAATGAGTAGCTTTTCACTGAAGTTCTGTAATAGGGTTTTGGTAATCATGCAGAGTGGTACGTTACCTGGAAGAAAATGCTCTTTATGATGGAATTAATGTATGTGGACCAGTTGGAACTGAGTACATTTTGTTCCATTCTTCTAAAATGATCCTGGAACTTGGTTCATTACAGTTATAAGCTCTGATGTGAGACCGTTCTGTATCTCGGAACTTGTAAAATCTCTCAAGATGTTTAAATAGCCCATTCACTCAGTCTTTAAGACTGCATAATGGGGAAGATTCTTTACCTAAGGCTCTGGTCAGATTGATTAGTGGCCTACTATACTGGAATGGGTTGCAAATGTTGATTTGGTGGAAGACAACTTATTTGTCAGAGCTTGACCTGCCAGTGCATACTGTTTTTTCCCTTTTATATGAGTTCAGGACATGTTGATTTGCAGACGCGGGGAAGAACTTTTAATAATGAGGTCTTCTCTCTCTGTGGATCAGTGTTCCTGATTTATCAGGCAGTTTAAAGAAGATTTCATCCCAAGGCTGGAGGATATGTATCCCTCAAAGCTGCAGATGGAGAATTGGGCTTGGCTCAAGTCCAAATTATGTGCAATTTTTTTATGTCACTGTGAATGCATGTTATCCAACAGGGAAAAATGGGGCATGTGGGTATACATTGCTGAGGTCAGCTTTAAAGGGAAGTTTTATCATATGAAATCTTGTTGGAGCATCTAGAAGGATTTATTTTTTTCCTGTTGATTCCTCAGAACTGAAAGTGTGGCAGAGAAAGCTAGTACTGGAATGCTAAGAAGTAAGCTCATTCTTTTAAAAGATAGTGGCCATCTTTGGCTCTCTTCTCTAAAGTCACAGCTCTGGAAAGTTATTCTGAGTGACACATGTAAGCTAGGGTGAAACAGTCAGATGGATTTAACAGGGAATATATTTTGGGCTACTAATCTTTACTTTGGCAGAACCCTTGAAATCACTAAGCAAAAGGCATTTGAAAGCTGCTTTGTGGCTTCTCATGCATCTTCAGATTTTAAGTCTTATTAAATTAAGAATAATAGCTAAAAAGTCCATGTTCTAGCTGGTCCCTTAAGAGCTATGTTCTAAACAAATGACATTAAAAAAAAATCCTGGAGTATAGATGTTTTCCCTTCAATGATTCCAGGTCTGAATCTGACACCATCTCTGAGCGTTTCAGTTTTTTAATGCAACAGAAACACATAATATCTGAGCAGTAATGTACCTTGTTAGAAAAGTTAACCCAATAACTTGTGCTCTGTCTTCATCTCCCCGCCCCCATCTCTTGTTTGTTAAGGAGTTCAGTTTAAAAATGTATTTTGAGTCATCTTGAACTTTCATGTGATAGCTTGGCTGACTCTCTAGCTGTATTTGTACATTAATGGAGGACAGCTTGCTCCCAGCTATGATCATAATATGCTATCTACTGTTTCCTGAAGTATGCTCTCCGTATTTGGCAGTTTAGATGGGATAAGTTACCTGACTCATTGTAGAGCACTGGAGAGGTAACTTTCCCAAAGTGGAATGAGATAAGGGTGGGAGTTTTGGAATATTGTAGTTGGGTACCTCGTTGTGATGTTTTTCACTGTGTAGCTGAAATGGGGAAATAGCATTGTTTGTTGTTTTTCATTTTTTTAAACTAACTTTTGATGTAGAGGAGTCTGCCTGCTTGCTACAAATGCAGTTGTAAGGCATCTGCTATTTTGATTTCTTTCTTAGTTGTACTATGTTTGTGATGCACGTGGCCATATGGTGCCATTATTACTGTGCTGTCATTTAGTACTTTAGGAAGTACTAAGCGTCACTTAGTGTACTTCTTTCTGGAAGTACTAAATGATGGCTCAGTAACAACCCCTACTGCACCATGCCAGTTGCACACGGTTATTTTTTTGCTGCTACGTCACTGTAGCAGTGTGCTAAAATGAGGGAGCGTGTTGCTACAGTTTTTGCCCATTAACGTTATGTTGCCGTAGCGTCAGGTGTAGATGTGACCAGTGTGTCTTCTACATTTATGCATGAATGCATGAATTTTTTGGGGAGAAAATATATATTTTCTCCAATGCTAGCTATATATATATATGTATATATATGTATATACATACAGTTATACACCCAATGCTTTATGTAATATAAAAAACTTAATATATTAATATTTTAGTGTGTATGTATGTATATGTGTATATATATGTGTGTGTGTGTATATATGTGTGTGTGTGTGTGTGTGTATATATGTGTGTGTGTGTGTGTGTGTGTATATATATATATATATATATATACACTTTTATTTTTAATGGAGAGTAGACTATGCCTAGGGAACCAAACGTAGTTGTGCAGGTTTTCAGGTCAGTAGCTGAGGAGCCTGTATTTTATTTAATTGTATGCTTCCTGATTAAGTACTTTTGAAACTCCCCTCCCCGCCAGTATACACATGATTCCTGTCAGAATATAGAAGTTATTGTTGGCCATATAAATGGAAGAAACAGACGTTTTCCTTCTGTTTCAGACCTGGTGCAGTTACTACTTTAAAAGTCATCGACTTTTAAATAAAAAGCTATTGACTTTTATGACTCTTATGTGTTCTGGGATAATATTTTTCATAAACAACTCCATTGACATGGTAGGAACTGAAGAAGTTCTTCCAGTACTATCAGTTTATTAAAATACATTTTTTTTTTATTGTTAGAAAAAAATGTTTGCCTGGGATGGATCATAGAGAAATTGCAGCTGTTTCTCTTGGCATGCGTGTTATGATGAAGTTACCACTTTGTCAGAGCCCAGAAAGTTCTTTTAAAATCTGAAATTTTTTTATAAGCTACATTCTTTGGGAAGCTATAGGTTTTCCTTTTAAACAGTTTGTAACAGTTATGCTGACATCTTAAGATCTGCAGAAATGTTGGAGGGTAGAGGAATACAATGTATAAAATAGAGAACACTTTTAAAATGGAATTTAAAAACTGAAGAGAAAATAATATTAGTTGCAGGATCACCTCGACTGGACAGTTTATAGGGCAGTGGGGGCTTGCCTGCCACCAGGTGAATGAAGCCCCTGCTCTGAGTGTCACTCTGATTCCCCTTTCCCTGATCCGTTGTCCTGCTCTCTCCTCCCTGCCCTATCTGCTGGCTGCATGTGCCACTTATGGCATGGATGCTGAGGGTTGGGCACCTCAGTGAGAGTGTCCTTTTGAGAAGTTACTTGCCATTTTGCCTAAAAAGATGGCGGTACAACAACTAGAAGAGTTGTGGTTCTTACAAGTAAGGTATGAGATGCTCCATGGGTTTCTGTTCAGAATGGCTTCTGAGACCTGGCACTAGCAGTGAAGAGTGTGCCATTGTTGATGGGGACAGAAAGAAAGAGGTGGAAAGATGGAGAAGTGGTTGTTTGGGGCAAAGCAGTCAGTTAACTTGTTAGGTGGGCCAGACTGATCCAGTTAGAGGTGGAAAGATGTTTGGGTGCAAGGGCCCAGCTGCCACTGCTGCTTTTTTCCCATGGTGGTGTGGGAAAAGTGCCTGCTGCTGCTGCTTCCTGCCGTGGCACAAGAAAGTGACTGCTGCCAAAGTCTCATGTCCAGGGGACAGATAAAACTGTTCTGTGGGCTAGATCTGGTCTGCAGGCCATAGTTCACCAACCTCTGTCTTTTTTTACTACTGTTACTCAAATTCAACGGTTATGTTGTACAGTTCTTCTCTCTCTCTCTCTCTCTCTCGATATAGATACAAGTCATAGCAATCATTCAATAATATTAATAGGTGTTAATAAAAAAAAAGTTTACAATTGTATATTACAATAAGTATATTATATTACAATAAGTATATTAATTGGCATAATCGGTACTTTTCCCTTGCCTGCTATTATAATCATGTGCCTTTGTGATGGCAAGTGTAGCAGATATACAATTACTAAACATTGAACTGTAGTAGTTTAGAAAAAAACCAACTTGTTTTCAGTAGGTCTATTAAGCTGCTCGCCGATGGTATGTCCTGAGGACAGACATGGAAATGAGACTAGATTTTTTTTTTTTCCTGTTGCTTAACGTTGCTCATGATAGTTAGATGAAGTAGAGCTAGAAATTAGTCCTTTATATCACCTGGAGCTCCAGATTTCCAGTTTGTTAACAGTTCAAGTCTTTTATCTGGTTGCAAGTTTAATGTAGGAATTGTTAATGGGGGGCATAGGGTTTGGAGAAAGCACGCTGGTTGTCTGAATGACTTGACAAGGTATACAGTATCATTAGCTGACACTTTCTGATGAAACTGGTACTGTTTTCTAAAAGTTGGTCCAGAGCTACTGAACAGAGAGAACTATACAAGTAGGTATGAAGTTCTCTTAGCGGGATTTCACAGCCTTTTTCATCTTGCTCCTGAGTCAGAAAATACTATCCTACTCTGTTCAGTCCTCAGCACTTAGCTCTTGAGTTAAGTCTGATTCAGAAGTATGTATACAGCTGTAATTTTCAGCCCGTGAATTGTACTTTTTACTCTTAATTATCATGTTGAATGTATACACATACCATGGGTATGTATGTCAGTATATCAGAAAAAAAAAAAAAAAAAAAAAAAATATATA